ACTACTACTACTACTACTACTACTACTACTACTACTACTACTACTACTACTACTACTACTACTACTACTACTACTACTACTACTACTACTACTACTACTACTACTACTACTACTACTACTACTACTACTACTACTACTACTACTACTACTACTACTACTACTACTACTACTACTACTACTACTACTACTACTACTACTACTACTACTACTACTACTACTACTACTACTACTACTACTACTACTACTACTACTACTACTACTACTACTACTACTACTACTACTACTACTACTACTACTACTACTACTACTACTACTACTACTACTACTACTACTACTACTACTACTACTACTACTACTACTACTACTACTACTACTACTACTTGTAGTATTTTTGTTTCGCTTTCTTATGAATTTATTTATAAGCTTTGGTGGGTAGTTAATGAGACGCAAGATATTCTTGATGTATCTAATCTCTTGTCGTAGATTTTCTCGTCTACTGGTAAGCTTTTTCGTCCGATTACTTATGCATTTAACTAAGCCAACCTTAACTGAGATGGGATGAGAGGACTTGAAGTGTAATTAGCAATTTGAATGGGAAGGTTTCTAATAGACAATAGTCTGTAAACTTCCTTCTTGTGTTCTTTTAATTTTGCAATCCAACATTGCCATCTCACCTTTATCACTTTCTAAATCACAGGTGAATTGGATTGGATTCACTACTGAATTTTTATGTTTTATTATTATTATTATTCGTCCCTTGGGTTCCTAATGGAACATAGGGCTTCACTAGCACGTCTCCAGTGAACTCTGTTCTCACCAATCTTTTCAACCTGGCTCCACAACAGCCCAGAAGCTCTCATTTCCTCCTCACACGATCTCCTCCATGTCACCCTCAGCTGGGAAGTCCAGCTCGTCGCTTCCCATCGGGGTTCCATTCGAGCAACTGGCCTGATGCATGATGTCCCCAGTCGGCCTTCTCAGTGTATGCCCAATCCATCTCCACTTCCTTCCAATGCAGATTTGTTGGGTGATAGGTTCTTGGTTGGTTCGTTCCCAAAGTTCCTTGTTGCTTATTCTTTCTGACCATCTGATCTTCAGTAGCGAGTGAGCGTAAGCAGTTGTTGATGAATGTCTGTAGTTTATTGGAAATGCCTTTCGTAACGCGCCAAGTCTCTCAACCATACAGAAGCACTGACTTGACTAGGTTGGTGTTGAAAATCCGTATTTTGTTCAGCATGCTGAGTGTAGAAGATCTCCACACTGGTTTCAGGCTAATGAACACCTGTCTTGCTTTTCCAATCCTGGCTAGCTTTGACATCCTCGTCTGTGCCTGTACCGCCTGTAGTTGAAACAGTGCTTCCTAGATAAGTGAAGGAGGTTACTTCCTTTAAGTTTCTCCCGTTGACGGTGATTGGAGTTTGTTGTTTTTGGTGGTGGTGCGGTATCTTCATCACCTCTGTCTTCTGTATATTCACCTGAAGTCCCGTCTTCGCTGGAATTTTTATGTAGCAAGAATCTATTTGATGTTTTCCAATTTCAGTGCTGTAAACGTATCGTCTACATATCAGAACCATATCTTTGAAGTAGGACTAAATATTTGAAGAGCCATCTGTTCCCAACTATGTATAAATATGTTTGCCACGATAGTACTTTGCTGTTGGCATAGTATGTGGAATTGTTCGACTTCTGTTAGTAGATGGAATGCCTGGATACTGCCTTAATCTTCAACATTTTGTGGTCTACTAGGTGTCTAGTGGTGGAAACTCGGATGCTTACTTTATCCTGTTTAACACTCATTAGCTAGATATACATGCACCATAGAGTGTGATGTTTCCCCCAGTAATCTCTCTTTCCTATACTGCGTGGAATTGTCTGACAACTATCGGCATATGTGTCACTTGAATTTATGGGTTTGTAGAGATTTAGAGATTGCTTCTTTAAGTTCTGGCAACGAATCAACTAAGCAAGAACAGATATGCAGAAAGAAGTGGAAATGGATTGGGTATGCACTGAGAAAACGGTTTCAGGACATTACACGCCAGGCACTCGAGTGGAACCCAGATAGGAAACGGCGAGTTGGGCATTTGATGCGAGGGTGACATGGAGGATTTAGTATGTGTGAGGAAGAAGTGAGAGGTTGTGGGCAGTCGTGGAGCCAGGTTGAGGAGACTGTAGACAAGACAGTGGAATGCAGACGTGCTACTTAATGCCTATGTTCGGCTAGGAACCCAAGGGACAAATAATAGCATGATAATAATAATAATTCTTCAAGTTGGTATTCATCATGGATTGACGTCAGTTGGAGGAAGAACTGGACAACTATTTCGTCCAAGTAGTGTGACACTCTTCAACACTGCGCAGTCACAACCCCATTGCACCAAGGATTGAACTCGCCACCTTCAGGTCCCATGACCAGCACGTTACCATTTCAAACTTCTGTCAGTTCACCAGTTCTTCTCCCTCAGGTTTCCACCTTGAATTGTAAAGGAAGAAACTATGAGTTGGCAAGTGTAAAATTATTGCCAGAAGGGCAGACTAATTTATATACTTGTAATTTTAATAACATCAGAAGTGAAATGTATTTTCGAAAATCCCAATGAAGTAGAAAAGTACGTACACACAAACAAACTGAATTTGTCAGGCTTTGACTCCACCGGTCACGACTTCTCATTAAAACTTCGGGAATCACCTCTCAAAGCTAGTCACCAATGAGCACCAGTTCAATTGAATTTTGAGGGAGTTGTGGAGATTCGGAAATATTTCTAGTTGTTATTCATTGTAGACTGATATCACTTGGAAATGCGCTGGCCGTGGAACCTGAAGGTCTAGGGTTGGATCCCTGACTTGATGGGGTCGTGGGTGCGCACTGCTAAGGAGTCCCATACTAGTCGGACGAAACAGCTTTGCAGTGCTCCCAAGTTTCTTTTTTTCCTCCAACTGATGTCAGTCTCCACAAATCCCTCAAAATCCAAATTATTTATTTATTTATTCTTACACTTTCACATCCAGTTACATGTACACATATTCATATCATCTTGAACTCGAAATTAACGAACTGACAAACAAAGACAAATTGTGAACGCTTCCTGACCAGCATAACGATGACATTCATTTTCATGTTACCATCATGTATAGATGACAATGTGATCGAATTCGTCACTGTTTAAACAATCAGTAACTTGTATAGTAATGATGAGCAGTGGCTAGCAGTGGAATCCAGGATGAGCATTTCGTCCTATTTGGGACTGACTGATCAGCTGGATATACACAGGTAATATCAAGGCATCCACACAGGAGCCCATATGTCAGCAGAGACTGATCAATTCAGTCCAATCAACGACAATGTCATACAAGTAATAACACTAAATCGGTAACTTGTATAGGTTTTATTCTCTGAAGTAGAAGTGATTTCCATGAAGTCGTGAAAGGTCAGAAATTCATTACTTTTCTACTTCATTGAGATTTTAACAAAATACTATTTAAATTTTGAGGAGGTTGTGGAGATTTGGAAATATTTCAAGTTGTTATTCATCGAAGACTGACATCAGTTGGAGGAACAAAGGAAACCTAGGAGCACTGGACAGCTGTTCGATCCCTGCTGGTATGGGGTCGTGGGTGCGCACTGCTGAGGAGTCCCATACTAGGACGAAACAGCTGTCCAGTGCTCCCAGGTTTCCTTTGTTCCTCCAACTGATGTCAGTCTACGATGAATAACAACTTGAAACTAATGTAATTGTTTTTATATGATACCATGGTTGATTGGACCGAATTGATCGGTCTCCATTGGCATATAGGTTCCTATGCGGATGCCTCGATATCGCCAGCGTTCTGATTATGTTAATGATGGATCACGGCTAGCAATGGAATCCAGGATGCGCATTTCGTCTTATTTGGGACTGGAGGCATGTACACAGGGTCGTGGGTGCGCACTGGTGAGGAGTCCCATACTAGTCGGAAGAAACAGCTGTCCAATGCTCCCAGGTTTCCTTTGTTCCTCCAACTGATGTCAGTCTACGATGAATAACAACTTGAAAAAAAAAATACTATTTCATTTATAATCCAATTACCCAATACGCTCAACTTTTTCAATAACACAATTTATTTAATTATTTATTGATTTATTAGTAATTGTATTGAATAGATCTACATAAAAGCATCTTAGAAGTGTAAACATTGAATAAATGAACTAAAAATTAAAATCTAATATCTTTTATCAGTGTTCAACTAATATTGATTAAGGGTTAATTAACTCTTATTGGATATTTTAATAAAATGAATGAATTTGTATATCGTTGTGGACGACGACGACGACGACGACAACGATGATGATGGCGATGATGATGACGATGAAGAGAAAATGTAATATGTAAGTAAGTCAATGATCCCTGCTGGTATGGGGTCATGGGTGCGCACTGCTGAGGAGTCCCATACTAGGACGAAACAGCTGTCCAGTCCTCCCAGGTTTCCTTTGTTCCTCCAACTGATGTCAGTCTACGATGAATAACAACTTGAAACTAATGTAATTGTTTTTATATGATACCATGGTTGATTGGACCGAATTGATCGGTCTCCATTGACATATAGGTTCCTATGGGGATGCCTCGATATCGCCAGCGTTCTGATTATGTTAATGATGGATAGCGGCTAGCATTGGAATCGAGGATGGGCATTTCGTCTTATTTGGGACTGGAGGCATCTACACAGGGTCGTGGGTGCGCACTGCTGAGGAGTCCCATACTAGTCGGAAGAAACAGCTGTCCAATGCTCCCAGGTTTCCTTTGTTCCTCCAACTGATGTCAGTCTACGATGAATAACAACTTGAAAAAAAAATACTATTTCATTTATAATCCAATTACCCAATACGCTCAACTTTTTCAATAACACAATTTATTTAATTATTTATTGATTTATTAGTAATTGTATTGAATAGATCTACATAAAAGCATCTTAGAAGTGTAAACATTGAATAAATGAACTAAAAATTAAAATCTAATATCTTTTATCAGTGTTCAACTAATATTGATTAAGGGTTAATTAACTCTTATTGGATATTTTAATAAAATGAATGAATTTGTATATCGTTGTGGACGACGACGACGACGACGACAACGATGATGATGGCGATGATGATGACGATGAAGAGAAAATGTAATCTGTATGTAAGTCAATGAAATGCTAAGCGGTTTACATGATGAAGAAATCATAGACTTATTTTATCATTCACTTCATATTGACTAATAGTTTAAACTATATCATCTGATGTATTATTTGATTGAGTAATATATGATTGATGAAGTTTAGTTAACTTCAATTTACTATTACCAACTTGTGTAAAAGTTTCACATGGATTGATTACACTTTGATCATTCAATCTACTTGTTGGTAATGATGATTTCGATTGTTGAATAGTATGTCTATGAAGATGATTAGTCATTTCTTTATTTTGTTTAGGATTCAATGTTACTTTAGACATTTTACTATTGTATGTGATATTGGTTGGTGGAATAGATTTCCAATGATAAATCACTTCATCAATTGAAGTATCTTTTTCATGTTGAATAATTGGAAAATTTGATTTATTATATAATTGATAAATAATTTGTTCATTGGATAAATTTTTATAACTTTGCCATAATTCAGCAGTTAATTCACCAGCTAATAGTATACCACAATTCGCTGTAATTAAACGTATTACAAATAGACCATCTAAACCTAAATAATAATTAACAAAGTTTTGTATTTCAATATCTTTTTTCAATTCCTTATTAATAGGTAATAAATTAAGAACTTTTAAATGATCCGTGATAAATTTGATACGTGATATTGGTGAAAATAATCGATAGAACCATATAATGAAGCTAATCAATGTGATGAATGCAATGAGTACATGCCAGAACCATAAGAATATATAAATTTTTTCTAAGAACATATTCAATGGTAGAACACATTGTAGAGTATAGCTGAAATGTGAATAAAAACAGAAGAATAACAATATGATAATATGATAATGTTAAGCCCATAACCTATCATTTCTTCCTCTCTCTCTCTCTCTCTCACACACACACACACACACCAAATCCTCTATATCACCCTCACCTCCAACACTCAATTCATCCTTTACCATCTCGGTTCCACTCGATAGTTTTTGTTATTCTCGCCATCCATCTGATCTTCAGTAACCAGCCAGAGTAGGTAGTTGTTGATTGAATGAATATGTGTAGTTTGTTGGAAATCTCGTTAGTTGTTCATGCTTTATACTGAGTGTAGTGAAGTAGATCTCCACACTGGTTTCACGTTAATCAACATCTATCTTGCCTTCTTCCCGATCCTGACTGGCTTTGACGTTCTCGTCTGTGCCTGTGCCGCTGCCTGTAGTTGAAACAGTGCTGCCTAGATAGGTGTAGGTGGAAGAGGCTACTTCCTTCAAGTTTCTCCCGTTGATGGTGATTGCAGCTTCTTCTTGTTGTTGTTGTTGGTGGTAGTGGTGGTGGTGGTGGTAGGGTATCTTCATCACCTCTACCTCTGTCGTCTTCTCTACGTTCACTTCAACTCCCGTCTTCGCTGCCCTACCTCGCCTCTTCTGTCAACTTGTTAGTTTTCACCTGTACATCTTCAAGTTTCTGCCACAAGACACTAGACACAATTCATCGGCGAAATCTAAATCTTCCAGGATGTTTTTTTCCCCGGTCCATTCAGTGTATCACCCTCTTCTCGTTCTTCACTGTTTGTTGCATGATCCAGTCCACTGCAATCAAGAATATCATGGATGGTAGTAGGCAACCTTGTTTTTCTCCTGTCTTCACTTCAAAGGCATCACTGAGCTTCCCATTGTGAATTACTTGATATGTGGCATCGTCATGTCAATATAGGGCAGCACGATATTTCTTAGAATACAGGATTTATAACATGCTCCAGTTTCTTAGTACTACAAGGTACCACCGTGTCACTACTGTGATAGGTTAATTGTACCTGTTAACGTTGAAACATACACAGTAATTTCTTGACTAAGAAACAGGCAATCTGTTCGATTTTATACAACTAGACAACAGCATATAGTTTGATTACTGAACACCTATTTATCGCATGAGAAATACGATAACGGTTTCACTGATTACAAAATATACCTTATTGACCTGATCACATTCTCTGAAGATAACTGTAGGAATGACAGAAGTGTATTTCAGTGATATGGAAAAGAAAAGCCAACAACACCTCAAATAGCTTACACACCATACACTGGAAATATATATTACTTTGACGATTGACATTTAAGAGAGAAACCGAGAGAGTCACTCCAACACAATCTTAAGTTAACTAATTCATAGACTGAAGTCTATGCATTTTCGACTGAGCCATATTAAAAGATACAGACTAGCCGGTTGTAGTCTACATCAAAACGTAAACTAACGGTTACAGACTCTAGATGATATGCCTCAGAAATGATGTCAGTGGAGCAGATGTATCCACACATTTTCCTCATCTTAACAGTTGGACTGAATTCACCATTTTCCTATTCCTCCTTCCAATACTTCACTATCTTCCAACGATTAGCGTCGATTCGTTCATCTGTCAGACTACTGATTTGTTACATATAATGAATGGGCTGATATGGTAAGAAATAATGAAGAATATTTGTAGCTCAGCTAGATGGTCTTGCTTGCATTGTGTTCTCTAAGCTGGGTTGTTTAGTGGTGAAGAAGCTTTCATCGTCTTGCTAGACAGTGACATCATCACCACTAACTTCAGTATGAAGTGAGCTGTCAATATCTCTCCGTCAGTGATTAAGTGGCTTGCCCTGAGGATGTGGTCTGTGATTGGTTGTTTCCTTCGATTGTTGTGTCATTGATTATATAGACTTTTCTGTTGGCTGTTCCTCTGCTTCACCTCTACACCTTTCTTATTGGCTGATAGATTGGGTCTATGTGTATACGTCTACTGATTGCTGACTGACTGACTGATCTGAATGCTAAGCTTCTAGGAATTCTCTGATGATATTCTTTGTGTTTCCTCTCTCCGTCCAACATTTCGACATTGTCAAAATTCAATTCATGCCCACCGTTATTATCCACGTGCATTGAGTGATGAGTGATGAAATGTCGTGTGTGACATTTAATAGCCAATTGGTGTTCATGTAGACGAAGACGAAGATGGGCGACCACTTTGTCCAATGTGTAGTGTTGACTACAGTGATTGGAGTTGATTTTGTGAATGATGTTCGGTTTGTCTTCTTTGGTTGTTGCATCCTTTGGTGTTTGGAGGGAATTTGTTGGTTTGTGAGCCACACCAATTCTAAGTAGTCACAGCAATCTTGTCGTGATTTCTGGTACATTTTTTATGTATGATAGGACGATGAGTTTATTGATTTCTGTGGATGACTTTGTAGCAGATGATGCACGGGATAGGCATCTTCTGATAAAGTCTCGTGGGTAGCCGTTTTTCTTTAGGGTGTGGCAACTTGCATCGTTGTATATAGTTCCAGATCATCCATTGAAGTTGACTGATTTCATTCAATAAAACAAGGCTGCCTACTACCATCCATGATATTCTTGATTGTAGTGGACTGGATCATGCAACAAACAGTGAAGAACGAGAAGAGGGTGATACACTGACTGGACCGGGGAAAAAAATATCCTGGAAGATTTAGATTTCGCCGATGAATTGTGTCTAGTGTCTTGTGGCAGAAACTTGAAGATGTACAGGTGAAAACTAACAAGTTGACAGAAGAGGCGAGGTAGGGCAGCGAAGACAGGAGTTGAAGTGAACGTAGAGAAGATGACAGAGGTAGAGTTGATGAAGATACCCAACCAACACCATCACCGCCACCAACAACAACAACAACAAGAAGAAGCTGCAATCACCATCAACGGGAGAAACTTGAAGGAAGTAGCCTCTTCCACCTACACCTATCTAGGCAGCACTGTTTCAACTACAGGCAGCGGCACAGGCACAGATGAGGACGTCAAAGCCAGTCAGGATCGGGAAGAAGGCAAGATAGATGTTGATTAACGTGAAACCAGTGTGGAGATCTACTTCACTACACTCAGTATAAAGCGTGAACAACATCTGGATTTTCAACACTGATTCAGTCAAGTGAGTCAGTGCTTCTATGTGATGGTTGAGAGACTTTGCGCCTTACTAACGAGATTTCCAACAAACTACACATATCCATTCAATCAACAACTACCTACTCTGGCTGGTTACTGCAGATCAGATGGATGGCGAGAATAACAAGAATAAGCAACAAGGAAGTATTGTGTAGAAACGAAGCAACTAAGCAAGAATCTATCAGTTAATAAATATGCAGTGGAAGGAATTGGAGATGGAGTGTATTGGGTATACACTGAGAAGTCCGACTGGGGACATCACGTGTCAGGCGAGACCAGACTGTCGAGTGGAACCGGGATGGTAAAGGACGAATTGGGTGTTGGAGGTGAGGGTGATGTGGAGGATTTGGTGTGTGTGTGTATGCGTGTCAGGAAGAGATGGTAGGTTGTGGTCTTTGGTGCAGGCAGGTTGAAAGGATTGCAGAGAAGAGAGTGTAATGGAGATGTGCTACTTAATGCCTATGTTCGAGTAGGAAGCCAGGGGACAAATGGTAATAATAGTAATAATAATAATATGGATAAATTTAATTCTAAGGCAGATATATCATGTGGGTGACGTGCAAGTTGGATAGGATCTCTTCACCTAATATTCTAGTCTAATCAGTGCTTATCTCAGAAACCTGTATTGTGACAGATTAACCTCCATGCGTACATTTTATTCCCTCCGAATATCAATAAATTTTTCCGAGAAACAGAGATTGGTAGAAATGATAATGGAATTGGAGATGTGATATGAATCCTTTCTTGTCATCATGGCATTACTTCAATTTCATTTATCTCACTAACAGTCATACAATTATGCAAATGATAAGTGAAGTATCAACCAATGACCGTATGGTCACATATGATTGAAATATGTCAATTTCATCTTTTCTCAAATAAGTTATCACTTGAAACAGTTCAGTATTCAGTGTTAGCCAGTTTTCTTCAATAACCTTTTATAATTTATCAAAATGAAATGAAATTGTTAGTTGAAACTCACATATGATTTTTGCCCAACTTCTTAGCTTCTAAATCACAGAATGTAACTCTTGGAAAGTGTCCAGAATGATGCCATTCTTGTCCTCTGATTAAATCAATTAATACTTGAGCACCATATAGTGTATACTTTGTACCAATAAAATGTTGCATTAAATAAATTTGTCCAATCACATTTGATAGATAACTAAGTTTGACTAGCATATATAGTGTGACAAGAAAATTCCCTTGTTCTGTACCACACCATGAAGGCCAACATATTAAATTTGATAGATTTTTGTGCTCTTTACCAAAATCTGGATAGAAAGAAAGAAAATAGTAAATAGGTTATATGAATTATTTATTTAGGAGATTAGAGTAACTCTCTTCTCCAAAGTCTTTTTAACCTAACTCCAAGACAACCCAGAAGCTTTTATTTCTTCCTCACACACCATCTCCTCCATGTCATCCTCACCTCAGACACCCAACTCGTCGTTTCGCGTTGAGGTTCCACTTGACGGACTGGCGTGACGCATGATATCCCAGAATGGTCTTCTCAGTATATGTTCAATACAACCCATCTCCACTTTCTTCTCCTGCATATTTGTTAGGTGATAGGTTCTTGGTTGGTTGGTTGGTTCGTTGCCAGGCCATAGTTCCTCCTTCCTTATTCTTTCTGGCCTTCTGATCTTCATCTTGAGTACTGAGCTAGTGTAGGCGACAGGTGTTCATGTATGTCTATAGTTTGTTGGAAATACTTGTCGTAACGCGCCAAGTCTCAGAACCATACAGACGCAGTGAAGTGATATGCATATCTGAAATCCGGATGTTGTTCACGCTTTATGCTGAGTGCAGAGCAGTGCAGTAGATTTCCAAACTGATTTCAGATTAATGATAGCATCATAATGAATATCGGTTACTTTCCTTCCTATTTCTGAGTCATTCAACTTGATGCCATCTCCCTTGAGTTGGTGATATTGGGTGTGGCAACCTGCACTGTTACGTGGTGATGTCAGGTCTCATATTCATCCTGACTGATATGAAACAGTAAGGTTAAAGAGCAACTGAAGTGTGTTGGAGAAAAAGATGGTTTGAAAGGTGGAGAGAGGGAGTTGGTGAGTACTCAAACTGCATAGTTTCAATGCATGACGTTTATTCAATCCTATCGCATATTCATCACAGATCTACGTAGGTTAATGCTCGAACATTTTGCAACGAAAATGACTGACATAACACCAGACTCATTCTATTATTATTATCATCATCATCACCGTTCGAATAGATCTATCCAAATACATTCCACTTGGTGCATGATTGAATATATCATGTGCTTTCATGCAAATGAAGTTGATATGAATGAGCATTTATCTCATTCATCTCTTCCCTGTCACATATATCTTCACTCTCCTGTGAATATTTGACTGATAACTTGTCAATTGCCACTCCTTCCTATTGTCTATACTTCTTAGCTAAGTGAAATTGACTTCACATTACTAAAAAAATGTCATGATGATGATGATGATGATGATGATGGTTATTTTGTATTGTGTATTTATTTGGAGAGGGTGGAAAGATGGATTATTGTAGACTTTGATTGAGTGTATTTATATGAGTCTCTTATGATTTATATGTTTCATCTACTTCCTAGACAGTATCGTTTTAACTACAAGCCGCACAAACGAGGACATCAAAGGTAGCCAGGATCGAAAAGACAGCAAGACACACCTCCTACATCAATCTGAAATCAGTGTGGAGATCTACTACACTCAGCAGAAATAACAAGATCCGCATTTTCAACACCAGCGTCAAGTCAGTGCTTCTATATAATGGTTGAGAGACTTTTTGCGTTACGAAGAGCATTTCTAACAAACTAGAGATATTCATCAACAGCTGTCTACGCTCATTACTGCAGATCAGATGGCCAGACTAATAAAAACAAGCAACAAGGAACCTGATGACGAACTAACGAAGCGAGAACCTGCCGCTCAACAAATATGCACTGGAAGAAGTGGAGATGGATAGGGCATGCACTGAGGAGACGGTTTGTGGACATCACGCACCAGGTTAGGCCGTCAATTGGAACCCAGATAGGAAACGACGAGTTAGGTTCCGATGGTGACATGGAGATGATGTGAGGAAGAAATAGAAGGTTGTGGGCAGTCGTTGAGCTAGGTTGAAAAGACTGCAGAGGCGTGCAAGTGAAGCCGCCATATGTTCCGCTAGGAACCAAGGACAAATAATAATAACATAATAGTAAACGAAAGTATGTGAAGAAAGTCCGTGTATGCATTTATCTTGATAGTATGACGTGGGAATTGATGGATGAATGACAGTAGTATATATTTTGATGAGATTTCTTGTGGAATGAAAATCTCAGGTTCTACTGAATATATTTATTCACTATGTTTTGATGCCTCCTTCTCTCATGATGTTTGATAGGATGAGATGGAGATGTGGTGTGACAGTGTTGTATGATTTGTGAGGTGTTTCGAGGAAGTGTGGTAGTAGATTGGTTGAAATGAGTTCTAGGGAAGAGGAAGGAGAGATTTAAGCTTGTGTCTGTGTATGTGTGTTTGTTGTGGATTGTGTATATTGGATGGTAGAATTGTGATGATGTGAGATAAGTGTAAATATTGAGTTGTTTCTACAATGGAGGATATGCGTGGTTTGTGAGGAGTGTTGTGTAACTGGACGCTTTGAATATTTCGTAGACGAATTGGTTCTGTTGAATTTGAAGAGAGGGGTAGGATGACATTGGTGTAGGAGAATGTATGGGATTAATTTAGTTTTGTGGCGGCTTCTGAATTTTCTGCGACTCCATGATTACCAATATGTATACATCTGTTGAAACTTAGTATTCTTATTACTCAGTATGAAGATCCGCTAAGCTCATTTATGGAAAGATTGATCTTAGAATATCGCTGATCACAACTTTCATCTTCTTCTAACGAGTGTTTATAAGTGACTTTGAAAGTTATCTCATGAAGAACTGAAACCACCAATTAAATTTCTTTATCTTATGAAAATCTGTCTTCCTAACTGAAGTGTCTTCACCTGATTAGTTATCTCAGCAGTCACTCCTGAAATACTGAATGCTAACTTCAACTGTGTCTCTTCCATGAGGATAATTACTGATTTCATTCCAAGGAATGCCGACAAGATCCATTCGAATATACTACAAGTAGGGTACATATGTAATTCTGGGGTCACTGTCATGAATAGCAGATCAGTCAAACAACGGGAACCAGTTTAAACACAAAATCAGTAAGAGAGACGGAGATAGACAACTATGAGAGAGGAGACTCCTGATAATCAATAAGACTCATGATAATGCAGAGAGTGTCAGTCAAACTGAAGTTATGGGTGTGTAGTAGGAGAGTGACCAATCCTATGAAAATCTTACCTCGCAATCAAAATACCAAAATCTGACTGGTTATTTTAGTAGTTACTAGGATGGCCTTCCCACTGACTTGTATTCTAGTAGATATTCTTGTCAAGGAACCTCATTTGTTTTAGCCTTATTGCTTGTATGACATTGTCGTTGATTGGACCGAATTGATCAGTCTCCGTTACTATATGGGCTCCTGTGCGGATGCCTCGATATTGCCTGTGTTTTAGTTATGTATAGTAATGATGGGCAGTGGCTAGAAGTGGAATCCAGGATGCACATTTCGTCCTATTTAGGACTGACAAGTCAGGTGGATGTACCTGCCTCCCAGTGTCGAGTGTTGTTCCCACCGTGACTCGGACTCGGGAGTGATCGCTTCAAACGCCAGAGCGTTATCCCCTACACCACTGAGCCACGACAGCTACTTCTTGTGAGAAGGGTATAGTTGTAGTGCTATTGCTTGTATGACACCATCGTGTAGTGAGCAACGCTATCGCTTTCGAAGCGATCACTCCCGAGTTCAAGTCCCGATAGGAAAAACATTCGGCACTGGGAAGCAGGTACATCCACCTGACCAGTGAGTCGCAAATAGAACAAAATGCACATCCTGGATTCCACTGCTATCCACTGCCCATCATTGTTATACTTATTTATTTTGTTCTGAAATTAAGTAGTTTCGCGTGTCACTTTGAGTAGAGTCTAGCAATCGCCGTTTAACATCAAATTTTATTGATTCCAGTCAGCTTACATGTATGTCACCTTCCTTTTCAATCAGTATGTCCATATCAAATTTATGAATTTACTTCGGCATTTAATCTGTTTTCCTTGTCATGATCATTATTCATATTTTATAGCTTGTATAGCTGTTACTAATATTCTTGTTGCTATATCCATCATTTCATACGTATTATTCTTAGTAATAAGGTGTATATTTAGCTAGTCTTGAGCGTAATCTTTGTACAGTCTTTCATCAAAATTCTGAATACAACTAGAGAACAAACAAATGGGGAATAACAACACAGTCATATTCAAATTAAACCATAATTACTCATTTGAGGTGTTGTTAATGTTATCTGTGTGTTATGTTAGTCAAATCGCTTGATTATCATGCATATGAAGTGTGCCGAAATGAATTTCAATAGTTGCAAATGGTAGAGATAGTTGGTTTTAGAATTCGTACCCAACCAACACCACCACCACCACCACCAACAACAACAACAACGAGCTCCAATCACCATCAACGGGAGAAACTTGAAGGAAGTAGCCTCTTCCACCTACACCTATCTGGGCAGCACTGTTTCAACTACAGGCGACACAGGCACAGACGAGAACGTCAAAGCCAGTCAGGATCGGAGAGATAGCAAGATAGATGTTGATTAACGTGAAACCAATGTGGAGATCTACTTCACTACACTCAGTATAAAGCGTGAGCAACATCTGGATTTTCAACACTAATTCAGTCAAGTGAGTCTGTGTTTCTATGTGATGGTTGAGAGACTTGGTGCGTCACGAAAGGGATTTCCAGCGAACTACAAACATTTATCAACAACTTTCGCCTACGTTCACTCGATACTGAGGATCAGATGACCGGAAACAAACAAGCAACAAGGAACTCTTGCAACGAACCAACAAAGCAAGAACCTATCGCTCAACAAATATGCACTGGAAGAAAGTGGAGATGGATTGGTTTGGTCATGCACTGAGAAGATTATTCGGGGACATCATGCATCAGTCCAGCCAGTCGAGTGGGACGCGTATGGGAAACGACGAGTTAGGCTTTTGAAGCGAGGTGACATGGAAGAGATGGTGTGAGGAAGAAATGAGCTTCGGAGCAGTCTTGAAGCCGTTTTAGAAAGACTACATAGAACAGAGTGAAATAGTGACGTGCTAGTGAATCCTTATGTTCGACTAGGAACTTAAGGGATATAT